GACGGGGGAGTATATACGTTTTGCAAAGACAGATGAAAGTAAAAACAAAGTCTTCTTAATTACATATATGCAGCGGCTTCGTTTTTAACCTTGGATTCTCAAATTTATTAAGAAGATGAGTGATGGACAAAAAGTATGTAATGGTAGAAAGGACCACTTTTCTTTCATTCTGCTATGTTAAAGACAAAAATAGTCATCTTCAGAAAGATATTGGGCGAATATGATGATTTGATCCATATAAAAAAAAATGGTAGACGAAGCCTTTCTCTTTCCCCAATTCAAGCAACAGCAATAGAACGATCCCTGAATTTTACGTTCCGATACATAGTTTATGCTAAAATCTGTGAATTTAGTACTACTGCCATACTTGAACTGGCCTGAAAATAAATTATTTATTATTTTTTTTTGTTATGCTCCATTTGTTTAAAAAAAGATATGACCCTAATTTTGAGACGTATGAATATTACATATTCTGAAAAGGAGGCTATTATGACTTTTCTCCGCATGTAAAATCAATACGGAGTACAATCGAATGCGTTAAAAAGCTCTTATATATATATATATTCACATCCGATTAATGGAAGCCATCTCAAAGGATAACCCTAATTATGTTAGGTTAAAAGAACAAAGAAAAGAGACAAATGGAGAAGAGCTCAGGGGATAGTGGCCCATCATGTGCATTTTGCTCCGAATGAAATCTCTCTGTGTTCAGTGCAGCCATTCAGCTCATTGTGTTTCAATCTATGATCACATATCATAATGGACGTATTTGCCTAAATTTGTGGGAACAAATAAATCACGCCTTTGCCCCCACCTCCCTCCTACCCTAGCTGTAATTTCTTGTGTCGTACCAATTATTCTAACAACTTATTTTTCATTCACTCTCATCTCAAATGAGATTCCATCACTGAATATTACTCCAAATTTCACAGAACATGCCAGATCTTTTGCAAGTTTAATTCTAAGAACTATGTATAGCAGAATGTTAAACATAACAGTTAATACAGATACGGATCCGAAGCCCTAGTTGTTTTTTAGCTACTTTTTTTTTTTTAAAAAAAAAGAGAGGAGTAACTAGGCTAAAGTTTTGTTTTTACACTATATTTTACCCAGGAGTATTCATGGGATCGATCATGTTGTCTTGCAGTACTACATTTCAAGTACAACGGTCAAACGAATTATTTTCCAACTGATGATGTCTTCCATATTGGTGTTTTCAATTCACAAATTTGAAAAGTATTACAACTTACAACTGATTAATTATTGTTCTTCAGTGTAATTTTCAAACACAAGAAAATCATTGGGGCTTTTTTTTTTTTTTTCATGATTTATCAGATTTTACCATGAGTATCTTTGGAGCATTACTCCTTTCTAGCTAGTCCATTTTAAGCACAATTTTAAATTAAATTTAGTTTGTTAGGATCTGATGGAACACTAATAATCACGTTCATTATGATTCATTTATATTATTTTTTCATTTTTTAATAGCAAGATTTTCTCTTTTGAAGGGAGTAAACCACCAGTTACAATGGCTTGACGCTCCATCATTAGAAACCAAACTATGGTTGAAACATGATATGATTAGAGTAATATATTCTTGTAATGTATTGAATAGATTTTAGGCGTTTTGTCTCTTTTATCATAACTAAAAAAATAAAAAAGAAGAAAGAAAGAAATTAAAAGCTTTAAAGATGTAAAATATAATGTTCGGTGAGTAAAAAAATACCGATAAAATAATGTTCTACAACCAATGATATCCTCCCAGTCCAACTAGTACTAACAGAAATCAAATAATCAGCTATAAACCCATGCTTAACTATTACGTTCATTGGAGATGGGAAGTACTCCCCTTAATCCTACTAACTAATTGTATATTAAATTGAGTCATAAATATGCAGAGAAAAATATTATCTTTGCCAATATCAAAAATAGATCTTCAATCAATTTGCCAATGGATTCTAGAGAGAAAAATAGACCGGTTTCTAAATAAATGGAGAGTTTCCCAGTTGGGCAATTTGTCCAAATGCACCGTTCAACGCTGCAGAGAGACATGCACAAAGTTGAGTTAGAAATGATTGCTTGCTCATGTGAGCTACTTGCCAGAACCAGAGACACTCTGAGTTGCTTTCAGTAATTTTCAGACCCCCCAATCACCAAAACTTAATAATTTTCCCCTTTTTGTGATAATTTCGCTCCCTGAACTAAATTTATGAAATACTCCATATTTCCCAAAATTATTGTCCAATTTGAGATTTCACTTTTAGTTCAATTTGTACTAAAAATAAAAACTCAAACTTGACAATAATTTTGAGACGGAAAAGTACTAATTTTGAGAAGAACCCCACTTCAATTTTTATTTATTTTTTTTTTTGAGAAGAACCGAGACAGTTCTTGACGGGCATGCCCTAAATTTCATTTTTACTTCATCATTATGAATTTTGAATGAATCACAAGCCTCATTTCTTCTCCTTTTTTTCTTTGTTTGTTTTTCAATTTACATTTTAATCGTGTGAAGTAGCAGGGCGGGATAATTTGGAAATATACAAAGTGTATATTATGAAAGTGGGGAAAGGTGGCGAGCTGGTTTCTGTCCTTTGCCTGCACTGCTTTCATTAATGGTTTTTTGGCAATGTTGCCAATTGCCATGCAGATCCATCCCATCTTTGTACTCATCAACTCCACTCTCTCTGCTAATATTCCTACGAAAAATCCGAAAACCCATAAATGCCGACCCTAACTAATCACTACAGATTAATCATAATGTTGATCGATAGATAAATGGGGGAGTATCATTAATAGTCTCAGATTCTTACGTAGCCTACTTATTTACTCCTCGTCTCAAAATGATATTCCAGATTAGATTTTTATAAATTTATAGCACAAATTACGATAAAAATGAAAATCTACTCTATATAATTTTTTTAAACAAAAAAAAATATGTCTTCATGAAAAGAAAAATGATTCCATACAGCAAGTATACCACGTTTTTAATATAGTAACACACACTCATTGTATAATAAAATATTACGATTCCCTAATTTTGTAGTAATATTACCGGTAAAATTATAAACTTACTTTCATTATATGTTTGGTTATATAATCTTACGTGGTACAACAATTGTAAGTTTTCTCGAATGATAATGATCAGTTAAGCGATAAGAACACCGGATCCAGTTGAAAATTTCATAAGCTATTTCGAATAGAAAGGTGGTCATGCCGGCGCGTGATAACGGTCACATTGTATTGCATATATTAATTCATTATTTGATGCGAGGTACAAACAACAATGTTTGTGTTGACCATTTACTGATTTTGTGAATTAGAGTCACAGAAATAAAGTACTATTAGGAATTCTAAACGAACAATAATTACCATTCACAAATACGTATATGATTTCCTGGTTTTCAAAAGCCACGGAAAATATATATATATTTATCGGTTAGTCATCAGTGGTCTTATCATTTGTTCATACTATGTATTTTTCTATTTATAAAAGTGGGGAAGTGGTACGAACTACGAAGAGTTTCCCTGTCTTTGAGGCAAAGGTCTTGTCCAATCATTAGTTTGGTGGACTCAAAGGGCCTCAAGTCAGTTAGTCTTCCGAATGTGATTATCCTAATTGCTTATTCTTTTAGGCTAATCTAGTTAGCTAATAAGCACAAATTTGTTAAAATTACACTAATTGGTCGTCCATGAACATATGCAAAACAAAATTTCATGCGAGAAGCATTCTTGATCCCAGAACTTTCCTGAAGTATAAATTAATCTTAACTTGGTCGGGAAACTGCCATAAAAATAAAAGGCAAAACGAACTCCATTGAAAGCTGAGATCAGACTACTGCTACAATATTATGAAGTTCATTTGCTGCCAAAGGTTCAAGTAAACCCTAAATAACATACTGCAAAATTTGCCTTGATGAATTCTTAAAGATTTTGTATAATGCCATCGACTGAGACGTCGTAAATCAACAACTATTCAAAAACTATAATAATTTTTAGGTAATGAAAATATATAAAATATATCTTTGCATAGTTTATCAATTAAACAGCAAATTTGATCGATCATAACTGCAGTAATTGCGTCTTGAATTTTTAGACGTGTAATGTAGAGCACATTAATGTAAATCTTCCCGGTCAAAAATTTACATCAAACAGTCCAAAAGTTAATGTAAATATCAGCACCCACTGGAAACCAGCTAGGTAGATAGCTCTTAAAATGTTTCTCAACATTCGATAAAATTAGCCAATCAAATACTCCTTCCGTCCCATAATTATTGTCCAGTTTGAGTTTTCATTTTTAGTTCAAATTGTATTAAAAGTGAAATCTCAAATTGGACAATAATTTTGGGACAGAAGGAGTAGTTTAGAAAATGACATGACCTATGTTTATGTATCTCATATTCATGTTCTTAAGAAGTGTAATTCGTTATTTTATTCTTTTCACATTAAGATAATATTAGCCATTTAGCCTTATCCTAAAACTATCCTTAATTCTCAAAGCTATTCACTTCCCTTGTCCTTTACCCTCTAACCAATAAGATAACGATCTTTCTGTCCAAATGTTAATTAATTGTCTAATTTACTGCATTATGTTATCTCAAACGACTTGTAGTAGTGTATATATGATACAAGAAGGATGGAGTAATCAAATTTGCGATTTCGTTTTGCAAGTTGAATCTATAGGATGAACCGACTAGCTAGAAGAAAGAAAAATCAATCCAATTAATTTCATCTGGATCTCATTGTGCAAGTTGTAAATCAACAAAATGATTAATCTCTAGAGACAAGGAAGCAAAGCAACTTAAGGACAAAAAAATTAGGGAAACTTATGAATCCCAAAATAATACATGAAGATGTGAGGTACACGCGTGATGCAGTGTAATAGTGTGTGGCCAAGATATTATCTCCTCCAGTCTCCACTATAATTAATTAATATACAAATAAATTATATATATATATATAAATAATTTCCATTAAATTCAAAACAAAGATTATATTCTGAAATTCTGATTGCAACATTTGAAGATAGGGTTCATGTGTATGATCTATATGGTCGTGTGGTTGCATTCTCCTTTATAGCTATAAACTTTTTTTTTTTTCCCTTCCAATTAAGTTTTTGTCTTTTTGATTTTAATAATTTCTTTTTCTTTCAGGAAGTCACGTGAATGTCTTAGGCCACAGGCCAGCCATTGTTAATAGCTTTATGGTGCCCCCCCTCCTTTCTTCAACCCCTTTATAAGCCTTTTTCCACTCTACTCATTAGGCCCTTTTTAGATCAATCGATCCTTTCTTCTGAATTCACTTTCCCCCAAAAGCTTTCCATCTAGAATCAGAACTTCTAATTTTATCATCTCTTTAGCTGCTTGTTGTCTTCCTTTTTGAATCATATACACAGTAGAGCAATTTATTTTGTCTTTCTTTGATCTTGATTTTTGTTTTTTTGTTTTTTTCAATTTCCCAAACCCAATGATTCCGAACTTCATGAACTCACAAGCTCCTTCTCCATTTCCTGTTGATCATGATCATCAGTTCTTCTTCCCAAGTAATTATCAACCAGCTGCAGCAGCTTCATCATCTTCTTCTTCTGCTCATGTTTCTTATTCTGTATTCTTCACTTCGCCTCATCAGCCTCAGGATCATCCTCAACAACCCGAATATAGTCGTTTTGAAATGCATCCGGATCAACAGCCTCAACAAGAGGTAAGAATTTTTGTTCGGCATATATATATTTTGATCCGAGTTTTTTTTAGTTTAACAAAATAGACTATTTTTCTCGAAGGGAGAACCTGTTTTTTTGTGATCTCATTAGACAACAAACAGATACAGACAAACCTTTAATTCATTCTTTTTTTTTTTTTTTTTAGTTGAAGATGTTTAATTTTACCACTGTTTAAGTTGTGATCCACATGGATCAGTTGCTGAATAAAGATTAATTCCTTTCTTTAAAACCTAAATTTAACTTTTCTTTTGTTTTTTTTTTTTTTTTAAAATTTCAGGATGTAAACCATGCTTCATACGCGGGATCACAAGATTTAGGTGATCAGAAGAAGCCTAATAAAGGTATAAAGATTACCCTTTGGAAGAATGAGGAAAGTCATAATCAAAATGGTGGTGATGATCAGGAGAATCCAGCAATGAAGTGGATGTCTTCAAAGATGAGGGTGATGCAAAAGATGAAGAAGTCTGAAGATCATCATCATCACCATCATCAGAAACACCCAACATCTTCACCTGAAGAAACTGATCACTTCAGCAGCAACAGTAACTCCTCAAACAACAGTAACACCAGTACCACTCCATTTAGGGTTTGTGCTGATTGCAACACAACCAAAACCCCACTCTGGAGAAGTGGACCTAAAGGCCCCAAGGTGATTATTCATTCATTCCTCTCATGATCTTCAACTTCTTAATTTCCCTCTCAAAGATACTTAAATGAGGAGGACTAGTTAAAAAAACTCATCTTTCATATAAAGAGTCAGGAGCTCGAATCTCGCCAGTACTGCAGAACACAACATTGTTTTATCACTTTCAGAAAAAAAAAAAAAAAAAAAAAACTTCTTTGTGATCAATCTTTTCTTGTGGACAGTCGCTCTGTAACGCTTGTGGGATCCGACAAAGAAAGGCGAGGAGGGCCATGGCGGCGGCTGCAGCGGCTGCAAACGGCGCAACCCAACAAATGGAGACCAATAAGACATCATCACTGAAGATCAAAGTGCAAACCAAAGAAAAATCGAAGAATAATACTAATGGGCTGATGACTACTACTCCATTCAAGAAGCGGTCCAAAATGCTCACAGCAGCAGCTGGAATAACAACAACATCATCTCCTCATCATGCACAGCAACAACAGAAGAAGAAGACTAATAACGTTTTCGAGGATTTCTTACTCAACTTGAGTAACAATTTAGCCTTTCATCATGTGTTTCCGCAAGATGAGAAAGAAGCTGCAATCCTTCTGATGGCCTTATCCTGTAATTTGGTTCATGGTTGATCAACCAAATTCCCTTGGGTCCCATTCCCATATCATCGTACGTACGTTTTGGTCAGTTAATTTTGTTATGTTCTTCAGATATGGTGTTTTTTCCCCCTTCCCCCCCACATACCATTAATTATTTAGCCTTTTGTTAGACGATTAGTAGAAAGATTCATGAGTGAGAGTGACCTAGCTAGCTCTAGAAAATAAGATTAGTTTTTATTGCATTACTCAATTAAGGAGTAGTACGATAATAAGTTAAATTTGTGTGATGAGTGTTTTCCTTTTTCTCTCCCTTTTGTTGTTAAAGAAGTAGTGGTGTGATACAATTTGATCGAACAGGTTGATAACCAAAATGTGGATCTCTTGTTCTTGATCTATATCTATGTGTGCTGTCAGTTTTAATGAAGCATTCAAATTATAATTTTCAGTTATGCATCCAACTTCCTTAATATTGTGTCCATGAAAAGAGACCTGACATGTTTATTGTACTGTTTTAATTCAACAAACACGACTCTGTAATCGTTGGAGTAAAGCAATATTTCTTTGTTGTTCTTTTTCTTTCATGTCAAGATCTATTCTTTTTCTCACTAACATTGGATGTAGAAGTACCTTGAACTACCTTGGGCTAAAAAAAAAAAAAATCATTTCTCTTGAATGTAGAACAATGCCTTTCAGTTTAACTAACTTACAAACTCTGTCAAAAATGATTGAAAAATTCACTTAAAATAAACAACAAAAATAGTAATTATGTCATTCAAGAAGTTCTGATTTAGCAAAGATTTCCTAGGAGAAAGTTTGAAGCTAGCTAGATAGGGCCAGTTTGAAAGTCAAAACGGGAAAATCCCACAAAAGAATGTCATTGCGGTGGATCAGCACAGTGTTTAAAGCAGTCAGCAAAAGCAACATTATATATAATTAATTCATGGAGGCTGACATAATCTCAGAAATTCAGAAAGTGTAGCAACAGATCATGAATTGACAAGGGGCAGAAAAAAAGGAAGGGAAAAAAAAAAAAAAAACTAACTAAAAAGCATGCAAGAGCAAGACCATTCACTTTTCATATGGCCGGCTTTATCAATCATGAGAGTGATAATTCAATAACAGCCTCTCAAAAAGAAATAGAAAGTTTCTATAATATATATATATATATATTTGACATTATGTTTCTAATATATATTTTTTTTGTTTGGGGACGTGGGAGTGGGGCTAAGCTAAAAATTAGGCTATATATACAGGGAAAGCAGCTTAGCCTCTCTGTACATGGACTGATGATATTGATGAATCATATAAATTTGCAGCAGCTTTATATGTTAAGGACCCTTGACAAGTCTCTACTATTCTCTTTATACAAGAGTGTGTTGTTTTGTGAATCCTTTTTTTATCCATCCTCTCTTGTGACGAGAGATCCTAGCTAGAAACCCCTCCTCTCTTTCCCCTTCATATACTTTTATTATCAAAAACAATACTAATCACCCAAATGTTACTCTTTCATCTCTCTCTATATATATAGATTATATACCTAACAAAAAAAATGACAAGAAATTGCAAATTCAAAAACTTATCGAGATGGTTTTGATAATACAAAAATTGAAATTTTAAATTAGATCATTATTTCAGTAGGGAATGATTATGAATGCATCACGAGAAGTGATACAAAGTAAGTCATATCAATTTTCATTATAGATATATATAACTCTGCCTGCTACGTACGACTAGCTAGCCAGCTTCAAGTTTCTTTGTGGCTTCAATTGTAGCTTGTCTTTGGTTTTGAATCCTGTATGTAAGTGGGTTGCAAATATTTAAGACGCTGCATTCTGCATGGAGTTTATCGTAGTGTCTGAGTATGGGGCAATTGGTTTGGGGGGCGAAATGATGAAAACAAAGCAAAACTTTGTTGTAGCTCAATCGTTGGGAAGAGTTACTCCCTCTGTTCCAAAATTATTGTTCAGTTTGGGTTTTCACTTGTTGTACAATTTAAACTAGAAATGAAAACTCAAACTGGACAATAATTATGGGACGGAGGGAGTACTATATAAAAAAATAATAATTTTTTTTTCCTAGTATTGCATTCATCTTCTAAAGTCATTGATAATATAAAAATTATAACAAGACAATTATTGAAGAACAAAAAATTACATAACTTTGTAGTAATATGTTTTTTGGTAATAATTAATCCTATTTCTGTTCTAAAATGATGATTCATTTTAAAAAAATTCACATTTAATGCAAATAGTAACAAAAAGTGAAAATTGGACCTGAACAATCACTTCGAAACGGATGGGTTCAAGGTGTGTTGCAGTGCATAACATTTAAAATAATATAGTGTCGCAATGCAGGACATGAGAGGCATAAATGATGAATTTAGTCCTAAGATTTGAGGGATTATTTGAAAGAAAAGAAAATAAAATCAACATTACCAAATAACTCAAATTTAGAGTACTTGTTTGAGATTTCAAGTGAACTCCCGGCGCAGTACTAACAAAGAGGAAAAAGAAAGGAAGTTTTTTTTTTTTTTCTTTTTAAATGCTTATTGGAAGGAGGGAAAGAATACTACGCTGATCGAAGATTATTAGGCCACAATATGGTGCAGAAGAACGAAGAGAAGGCACCGGCAAAACCTAAAACACCACCGCCGGAGGGTGCACCGCCGGCGGCGCCTCCTCAACTTCCCCGTGTTCCCTCCGCGGAGCAGATCGCGCGTGGGAAGTTCATCTGGCGTGCTTTACTAATCTCCAACCTAGCCCTTGGAGGTACGTATTTGAAAAACAAAATCCTTATTATTCAATTTCTTGGTATTGTTTAATAGTTCAATCTTCGATATCGGTATATTTAGTGTAGTTTCGAATGTAGGATGATTGTTTAATGCGGTTTCAAGCGAAGTTCTGATCAATGTTGCAGTCTGTTTCCTGATGAGCATACGCGTTTCTTTGGTATTTGGTGTGTGGACCATTATTAATTGCCTGTAATGTGCTTGATTAAATTCCCAGCTGAATTGTTGTGCATTTTTCTTTGGCTTTCTATTGGCAATTTTGTCCTTTTATTTTGGAATGCTCAAATTGCAGATCTGGATGTCATATTATGGATATTGAAACTAATTACTATTCTATTGGGATCTTTTAACTTGTGCATCAAATGGTCTATGAGCATCTCTGAATTGACAACATTTACATGATGTATTGACCCTGGATATTGTGAACTATCTGCTGCTTTATTTGTATCGATTGGATTGAGAATTCTTTGATCCCTGCTGTTGGTTGGAATTGAGTTTGGGGTGGCAATGTACCATCTAATTGACTGTGTTACTTCAGATGCATCAAGTCAATCACTGTGTATAATTTTGTGGGATATTGGAATTTGTTCTTAGGAAGTCTTGCTGAGAACAATTTTCTATGCCACGTCTGTTCTTTAGATTGCTACAGCAGCCCATGTCAATTATACATGGATCAATCTCTTACTATTCTGGCACACCGATGCCCTCTAAATTGTGAAATTTATCAGACAGGCATTTATTATTCACCTGGGTTTTCATACAGCTTATATGTTTGTCATGCCAAAGAAGAAACCAGTCAAGGAAGACAGCCCCAAAGAAGTGGAAGTGGAAGTTCAGCCTGCTCCAGTTGAGACGCCTGCACCTGTTTATGAGGAACCCATCATTCTTCCTCCCCCGCCTGAGCCAGTGAAAGTGCTGGAGCCCATCCCTGAAGACAGACAACGAGAACTATTTCAGTGGATGCTCGAAGAGAAAAGAAAATTGAAACCTCATGATCGTAAGGAGAAGCAGCGCATTGATGAAGATAAAGCAATTCTGAAGCAGTTCATCCGCAAGGACTCTATCCCAAATTTCTGATTTGTCATTTTTTCATCATCCACTGATGTAGAAGAGCGAATTTTGTTTTGCTTACCACTGACTGAAGTTGAAAAAGGTATACATTTTCTGCCATTTTGCATGCAGATGCTGTTGGTCATTGGCAATCTGATCCGATGTTAAGATCAGGTTTTGTGCTGGTCCTTGAACCGATAAGATTTTGCTTGGAAGCTCATTGATATTGGTGATACATTCCTCTGTATAGATTAAATTCACTCTCATTCAGTGATTTGAATATGTGCAACGGTATTCATCACCTTTAGCTGAGGATCATCAGCCCTGCACCTAGTTACCGTGACACTTTTGATATCAAAATTAAGCTTTGCTAGTTAAACAAGTAACCATTTTGCTTCCTCACTGTGTACCAGATATACATAGCTCTGCATTCTGTAAAAGTCCTAAGGGGCAGAGTTAACTACAGTTTGGCTCCTCAAGACTGTTGGTCTCTCCACTGACTTGTATACCTTATCAGTCCACATTACCTAGCTCTGTTACGTTCAAGATTCTAAATAATCAAATAGGAACACAAGGCTCCTTCTTTGTACCAAAAGATGATAAAATAGGAACTTAAGGCTCTTGCCTTTCCGCCTTTCCGGTATGTTGTCGCGTGAATGTATCTTCCAGCAACTCTTACAACATTTCTCTCCAGCAGCAACCCTAATAAGCTTCTGCAGGTGATTCCCACCAGGAGTTGTAAGGGGGGAGTTTTACCCAAATTTAATTAGAGTCTACTGAAGTGAATTTTTTTTTTTTTTTACAAAAAAAAAGCTTCCGCAGGTCTTCGTTGGCGCGGGAATACTATGCCGAAAGTTCAACTAAATTATCCATAGGCTATCTGCCCATTTCGTTATCCCTATGACGAACAAATCCTCATCTTCCTACTTCTTTCCATTCCTATTTTCTTCTCTCCGATCGTATGTCCGGATTCGGAATCCCTCGATCCAATTAAGATTGATAAGATAAGAATTAAATAGAGGAAAAGTTGTGGATGGGCTCACCAAATGTTGCGTTTGGTCATTGATTAATGATTCGAAACTTACGCTGTGGGGAGATTATGTTTGAAAATTAAACTAGAAAAGTGAGGTTAATCTACTGAGTTCTATCAAATATTGAGACTAAAGCGTGGGTTCATCTCCCCGTTCACCCCTCAATGAAACTACAATATACCAGCAAAATTTCAACTGTCTCAAATCCCAGAATTAAATCAAATGAAATGAAACTTCTAGATCAATGACAGGGATGCAACAACATAAACAAACTTGTTTGACAAAATCCATGGTTAAAGAACCTAAATTAATTACCGGTTCTGGCCGCTTCTTTCTGCTTTAATCACAACTCCGAGCAACAACAAAGCCAGCGTTATGCAAACTCCCTTCACCTGAGTAAATATCATTTTCTCTGCTCTAAGAAAAATGGAGTCCTCATTAATTTGACAGGGTTTCTGTGTTCAAAGTTAAGATCAAAGCAGGAAGAGTGGCCAGAAAGATTGAGGAATCATCATCATCCCGCTCGTCGATCAGGGAAATCGTTTCTTGAACAGAACAGATTTTGTGGTGTGTGTTGGTGACAATTGAGTACATATATATATAAGCTAGGAGGAGATTGGAGTTGGTGCTTTTAAGTTATGCTGATATTTGGTTAGAAGCAGCGTAGGTGAGAGCATGCATATTGAATCAACATCTTTACAGGTCCGTCACATATACTTCATGCTTTTGGATATATATTCAGTAACGAAAAAAGTTTGATCTAAATTCAATGAATGTACGAGGAATAGTTAAGCTACTTGTATTCTCTAACTTAGCTAATGAACACAAAACAAATCAACCAAGAGGAGCAAAACCAAAAAAGATATAAAGCAAAATTGAGGAAGACGTTCAAAGCTAAACCTCTCACATTCAAACAATGATGGCAACGGAAAGAACTGCCTCATGCGCTAGGAAAACGCTCAAAGATACTCCCTCCGGTTAGTTTAACTTAGTAAGCAATTTTTAATTAACAAAAAAATCCTTAAAAATATTTTATAACAATCAAGAGAATACAAGTGATACAACGAATGTGAAAATATATTTTTAAGATTTTTTTTGTCAATTAAAAATTCGTACTAGGTGAAACCTAGGACAAAATCAAAATTAAGTACCGGAGGGAGTAAAAAGCTTTTTGCTCAACCCCATAACTCTATTTATTATAAATTCAGATTTTTTTTTCCACGGCAAAAAGAACAGATACTACGTTTCAGGCAGCTTTTCGGCAATCAATTCAATGTACAAGTACTAACGGACCTGATTGGAGAGAGGCCTGGCGAAGCGAGGTTTCAGCAGAGGAACGAACTTCTGGATCGGTATGAGGATCGTTAGTAGCATTCAAGTAATTCATTAACCATTGTTGATCTCCTTCCATCTTTCCCAAACTGAACTGGTGTAAGTGTGTTTTGGAGCTCTTCAATGCATAATTAGATGGAATTTTGTAATTGTTTTACTAGGGTTTATGAAGAAGGAGGTTTATGTTACGTCCCTGGACCTAACTGTAAGAATTAGAAAATTTAGGGACTAAGGTATAATTTTAGAAATAGGTGGACTATAAAAAGTCTACCAGGGGCTGTAATCAGAATTATCGAAAATACTGTATTAGAACTAAAATTTTCAGTTTCGTCTCTCTTCTCCGTTTTTCCCCAATCTCAAACCCTAATTTTCCCCGACCACCTCTGAATTTCTCCTTTGCTTTTTCCCGGCCACCTCCCCGAGGCCCCCGGTCGTGACATTTGGTATCAGAGCTGGCCGATTCTTGGCCGACTCTATATTGGATATCATCGATTCGTTCATCCTCTTCTTCCCCTTCTTATTTCGCAACCCTCTGACCTCTGAAATCACATTTCTTCCTCCCTTTGTTTTGAAATTTGTGCAATTTCTTCATTCTCTGTATCGCACCAACCTTTAATTTTGCCGTTTCATCAATGGAATTCATTAGTTTTGGCGATTTCTGATCTAGGGCTGAAACCCTTTTCTCTCTTCCACCGTCCGAAGTTTTCCCCTTAGAACCGACCTTGTTTGGTCTTCCCAAGCCTTCCCCATTCGGAGTATTCCTTTTTACAGGCGAAGAAGTCAGTGAGTGGCTTGACCGTATAGAGCCCTTTTTCTTCTATAACCGAATTCCTCCTAATGAGAAACTCTTCAATGCCTTTTTTTACATGGCCGGCGAGCCTCGCCAGTTCCTATGTGGTATGGAATGCACTTTACAATTGGAGGATTTGGAAAAATTCGCCGACTAGTTGGAGCTACGTTTTGGTGATTACATCTGGCCAACCACACGAATTTGCTATTGGGAAGCATCGCCAATGGAGGAATGTATTTGGTGCATATCAGCTGTAGAAGATGACGACGGAGATTCCCTGCAGCCGTCAAAGGAAAAATCAGCCGAAATTACAACCGCGGCATCCTAGGGATCCAATTCTGAGATGAAGGTATAGGATGAAAATGGTAATCCATTGTCTCAAAATGATGATACTGAGAGTGTTGATGATGCTTTAATGGACGTGGATGATTCTACTAATGTTTTAAGGGAACCGGCATGTTGGTGTGAAATTGTTGAAATGGAAAACACTACTGTGATAGTGAATACTGATGTGGATGATGATTCGATAGTTGAGTCTGTTGTCTTGAGTGGAATTTATGATGTACCTACGATAAGTTTTTATGGCTCAGTTAAAAATGATACTGGTTTGTTTACGAAACTGAACTGTAATGCATTAAGTTTGGGTGGATTAGCCATTATCAAGAGCTCATATAATACTGTCAAGAGCTGGAAATATATTGATTAACCTGTGCTTGATGAATTGTCATTTCATGTTGATCCGGGGGGATTAGAAGGTCCTGTTGATGTTGATGTTTTGCCTGTGTGTGGTAGTGTTACTGGTTCGATTCCTTATGGCCGTGAGACTACTGGTTTGAAGTGTAAAACAATCCGGAATGAGTGCAGTTGTTGCTGTTGTGGTACCATGTGATGATAAATCTAGTTTTATGTGGGACGATTTTGTTTGCGATTTGGAAATATTGAATCTGGGAAGTGTTTCTCAGTTTGGTTATGGTAATGCAATGAAGGTCTTTGCTGTAAACCTAAGTTCGATAACTGAAAGAGTTGTTCTAAATCTGAGTCGTAAATCCACATTTGATCTTCATTTCTTATTTCATCTTAATGTTGATTCATACGAGTTTTTGAATCCGTTGATTAGTAGCTATAACTACTGGCTACCAGAAATTGATCAGGGAGGATTAAGGGGTCTTTATAGTGCTAAGGGGTTAGTAGATGATTATAAATGTTTGAAATGGGTTGGGACCACTACTTTTCATATTGATCCGGGGGAAATGAATGTCCTGTTGAAAGTATGCATTACAGTGATGAGCATATTGAATTATCTGTTGATTCGAATATTGATTTGCAATGCATTTACAATCAAAAAATTTGTGTAAGCTCCTTTGTTTTTGACCCTGGTGACAATGTTGGTTATTTTACCTAGTTACTAGAATATTGGATTTGGCTGGGGATAATTACAAAGGAAGTGAGCATGCTGATTCATCCCTTTCATGCTTTTTAAATGATGAATATTTGCAAAAATTTATAAGCAGGCTGTGCAGACCGTGGTTTTATCCTTCTTGTAGTCTTGAGGACAAGGCTGAAATTAAGGAGGTACAAGTTGCTAGGTCTAATGTTAATGAAGCTGTAGCTGGAGTTGGTTATTTGAATGATACTTTGAAGCTGCTCTTTCCAAATATCATGTGTGAATTTTCCTTGTTTACTGAAGTTAACTTGAATCACGATAGTAATACAGGTTCAGTGAATATTGCTAAACGGTTAAATTTGGTTGAAAGAACTGCTTGTTTTAAGGGTGCAACTACTGCGTCCGAATTGGAAACAGTAGCATTTAGTAGAGTCTTTTATCTTGATTTATTTGGGAATCATCAATATGCTGTTAGAGAAGTTGGATTGATTAATACCTCTGAGAATCACAAAATGAAGCAAGTGTTTTTTCTTGAAGAAGTTTTATTGGGTTTGCTTCTTTGCTGCTTATGATGGTATTTCTGATACTGTTATTATTACTGTGGGGCCTAGTGATAATGTTTTGTTTAAAAGTGGTTCTTGTGCATTTAGAAATCCTGGTTTTATTCGATATTTTTGTACAAAAAAATAGTATAAATCCTAGTCTGAAAGTGTCTCTAGTTTCAAGGGTGGTACCACTGTGATACATGTGAATCCTCCTTGTATTATTACTGCTAGAAATGAAAACAGGAATTTAAAACTAGATAGAAATGACCTTATGCAGTATGAACTAGAAATAGGTTCAGTAGTTAATATTGAAGCAATATTTTTATGTGAGCCTGTTGATTCTGGTGAATTCGATATGTTTGCTAGTGCTGAAAATTCAGTTAGCAGCAAAAGTAAGGATGCAAAAGTGTATGTACTGGCTATGATTTGTGGCTACAATTTTATCATTTCTGTGGGATATCCTCTGCATGCCAAGGTTTATCTAAGGTATAAGAACCAGGGGAAAATTTTATTAGCAACGAAGAAGCCTTTTTACCTAGTTGAGAAGCTGCTTAGAGGAATGAAGAAGAGTGATGATGGGATAAAAGCAGAAATGAATCTGTGTCACTGGGAGCTCTTCTTCATGGAGTTGAAACTTCTGGGATTTCAAGTGGACTTCCTGAATGATTTTCTTTTATCCTGGGAAGTCATAACGACAAACTTCTAGGGTAGTATTGACTCTGAAATTATGGATTGTTGTGGTTGTTTGTTAACTACTATAAACATGAAGGAATTCGAAATGATTCTGCTGGGAGGAATGCTTGATGTAGCTGAGTCCTTGGAAATAAAAGTTTGGGTTCAAACAGCCACGTGCTTTCGAGGCGGAACGACTCTTTATGAAGATAAGAAAGAGCATGTGATATTCATCTATGACTCAACTTTTGTGTAGATGATCGCTTGGTACAGCTTCCGAGGGGAAGGGTCAAATGAC